ATAGTGAGGACTGGTTTAGCATAGTGAGGACTGGTTAAACATAGTGAGGACTGGTTTAGCATAGTGAGGACTGGTTAAACATAGTGAGGACTGGTTTAGCATAGTGAGGACTGGTTAAACATAGTGAGGACTGGTTTAGCATAGTGAGGACTGGTTTAACATAGTGAGGACTGGTTTAGCATAGTGCAGGACTGGTTCAACATAGTGAGGACTGGTTTAGCATAGTGAGGACTGGTTAAACATAGTGAGGACTGGTTTAGCATAGTGCAGGACTGGTTCAACATAGTGAGGACTGGTTTAGCATAGTGAGGACTGGTTCAGCATAGTGAGGACTGGTTCAACATAGTGAGGACTGATTTAGCATAGTGCAGGACTGGTTTAACATAGTGAGGACTGGTTTAGCATAGTGCAGGACATTTACATCCTGGAGAAGCTAACTTTTTCTGTCCAAGGACGTAGGGAATAATTTTTCAGGATCTGGTCTAAGTGGACAAACTATGTAAAACCATTAATTTCTGTGATCTAAACTTGTCTTATCACATGCAAATACTGTTGTGCTGTCCTGTTCTTTTCCATATTTCTACTATGGTGGAAGCTTGAATGCACAAAGTAATTGTAACCTGCCTTTCCAAATAAAAATTTCAATAAAAAAAAAAAAAACTGGTTATGGCAAAGCGCCGGACAAAGATGGAGAGGTTCAGTTCAACAGAGATGAAAACGGCTACAAACTTGAGGAGGTAAAAATTTCTCGACCTCTTGAGATTATCAGGTCTAAAAAGAAAGATGCAGTGCTGACCCAGAGAAGAATGCTTTGCAGAACAGATTCCATTTCTTGATGACGAGAGCCTCTCGTTGGCGATGAGGGGAGCAGCAGATGATGAAAAAAGAAATTCTGGTTCACCAAATTTGTGAAGGTGAATCTGTGTTTTCATGTTCCAATATTGTTTCACATACCCAAAGAAAATAATCTACCAGTTTAATAAACTCCTGAAGAGTTCCTACCACCTCTTTTTAAAGGACACAATGTCCCTCCTGGACAAGGCTATTGATACAGTGAGGGGTAGCTATGTCATAAAACCTGGCCTTTTCCTGACCATGTTTAGTAAAAAAGGTGAGGACACCCTTGACCTTATAGACAGTGTGGACCCCTTCAATATAAAAAGTCTTTCAGTGCATGCAGCATGCATAATCACTGCTAAAGACCCAGAGATCAACACTTTGTTCTCCTGGCATAACTTGAAAGACCTTGTTGGAACTCCAGGAGCGCTGTACACAATCCTGGGCATGCGTGAGGTAACAAACCTCCAAACTGAGTTGTATCATCCCATCAATGTCCATCCCATATTTATCGATGTGCTGTGTGCTGAAGGGAAGCCCAACTTCTTACAGCTGTATCTTGACTCAATGCATATGGATCCCCTTACAGGTGCCATAGTAACTTGGAGACCAAAATCCAGGGCCCGCTCACATGGAGGACACGAAGGACAAACTGGTGTTGCAGCTTGGAATGAGAATCGAGCAAGTCAGCAGGTTTTAGGGCACTATTCCATCTGAAATCATCCCCAAAATCTGTTTTCTGAGGTCAAGCACTGTTAATTTGTCTTCAAGAAAGCCACTAGTCCATTCAAGGACACACATGTTCCTGAAGCTCTCCTGCTGGCACTAGACGAAGTGCTTGAACAGTTTATTCAATTAAATTCAATTCAGTTTATTTTTATNGAGGTTTTCCTGCCCTGAAATTTGGATCAGGGAAATTAAGGGTTAAATGTTCAAAGAGTTGTAGGTATTAACTGTTTTGGGAGTAATCAGTAAGTCAGACTGGAAGATTGTTGCTACTCCTCCTCCTCGCCCAGAACTTCTGGGGATGTGAAAATTTAAATAGCTTGAAGGAGTTGCCTCATTTATATATCATAAATGATATGATATATATATATATATATATATATATATATATATATATATATGTGTGTGTATAAAACTGTCATGATCTTACCGCTGATGGTTTGGTTTTTTTCTTTGCTCCTTGCTCCCCTGCCTAATTGGTTCTGCGGCTGATTATCGCCGATCATTTCCACCTGGTTCCTCTACTATTTAAGTTGTGTGTTTGCCTCCCATCAGTGCCAGGTTATTCGCGTGTTTTTTGTGAGACGTTTCCGAGCAATCTTTAGTCTGTCTGTTTTCCTGATTATGACCAGTTTTCTGCCCTGTGGATCTCGAGTTTTTGCCTTCCCCCTGTCTGCTCTGTTTGTCCTGTCTGATCCTGGATTCTAACGGCTTCTGAACCTGGAACTGTCTCCTGACTTCGGCCTTGGATTTCCCTTCTGGACTCTGTTGCTGCTCGGCGTCTGCTGCTCGCTCTCTAGGTTCTCTGGGGGCGTCGCCCAAGCAACAGCGGTCAAACCTCCGCGAACGGACTGAACTTTGAATCAGGTCAGTGACTAGCTCCAAGTCGCATTCAGCTCCACATCCAGTTACTGACCTGTATTCTCCTATCCCTGCAGAGATCAGTCCGCAGCAGACGAGCAGTCTGGCGCACCTGTTGTGTTTAATAAACGCTTTGAACTTTCCCACTGCCTGTCTCGCCTTGAATTCTGGGTCCAACATTCTGAGATCATTACATAAAACATGGCATAATTCTTCTTCATCTTTACAGTTGACAGGCAGCAGCCATGTCCAGAATTCCTCGTTTTCCAGCCACTTCTGTTATATCTCATATAATATATCCGACAAAATTCCTTATATAAAGGTTTTTTTCTTTTAATTAAGGCATTTTAAATGCCACAATTACATTTAATGAATTTTAACGCCAATTAAGGTCTTAATTAAAAAATGACTTAATGATTTTTAATGACCCACGGAAACCTGCTTTAAGAAGAAATCAGGAGAATTGAAACCTTAAAACACAGAAAGGAGGCAGGAGACTGAGTTAAAGCAAAATAAAACCATTTATTGTAAAATTCAGTGAAAAAATTCATATCAGTGGAAATGATTTCTTGGTTTTGTTTCTAGCAGAAAATGATCATTTAGTTATAGATCTTCCCCTTCCTTAAGTGCTGGGGTTCAGTCCCCCTCCCTGCTGACTGTAACAATGGGGACTGTTTGGATCCAAATGGAGGGAAGACGGAGAAAGATTTGTTTCATTAAAAAGAAAATTATTTAGATAAAGGACATAAAACCAAAGATATCCAGAGATGGAGATGAGGAACATAGAGCGAAGCTGAAGGAACAGAAGAACCAGCAGGAACAAAAAGAGAAAAAGAGCTTAGAAGAACTGATAAAACATCTTCCTGACAGACTGATCCCAGAGAGAGAACAAGATTGAAACGTCATGAAAAACATTTGAAGCGGCCTGCAGCTTTTTTTGGAAAAGAAACCAACTTTGGGTTAATTGCCAGCTCTACAGCTCCTTTCAGGATGACTTCCTGGGGTCTAAGAGGACACAGGACTTTATAGTCAGATCCAAACTCTTCAGTGATGCTCTGACGTAGAATCTGGCTCTGAGCTAAGCCCCCCACTAACACAATTGAACCAATGTTGAAATCTTTGCCTAACATATGGTTGATATACGCAGGCAATCCCACCTGAATCTCCCTATAGAGAGACCTCAGTATTTCTCTGGAGATCCTGATGCCTCTATTATCCCAGGAAGCTCCTTCCACTGAATCAAAGAACCTCTCAATGTCTTTCTTTTTCGCAGCCTGCTCTTTCAGGTTCTCTGGGCAGCGGATCCAAACTTCTTCATCCAGATGTTTGACACGGAGAAAATTAATCATCATTTCCTGAACCTCATTGGGGAAGTTTTCCTCATATTCTTTCCAGAGTTCTTGGAATATCATCCAGAGGAATGTAAAGAACTTTATGTCCACAGATCTTCCTCCCAGGTTATCATTAAATATTTCATACATCTTCCCCACAGCTCTTCCATCCAGGAATCCATAGACATTGAATTCGATAGTTTCTTTAAAATAAAAAATAAAAAAAGAATAAAAGTCAGAAAACAGCTTATTGTTCATTAAACTCTTATTCAGCAAAATTCATCCCAAAGTTCCATCAACAAACATTTCTTGGTTCTCTTGATGTTTGAACACAAAGATTTTTCAAACTCGTCTCTAATAAACTAATAAACATTCAAGAACTGTAGTGAATAGTTACCTCCACAGTTCACAACAATGTACCGCTTTCCGTCGCTGGTTTCCGTCGCTGGATTCCGTCGCTGGTTTCCGTCGCCTGTTTGGGTCTCCATCAGGACTATGGTTTCTTCTGCATCAAAGTGAACTGCTACCTGACCTGGTGGATCTGTAGAAACACAGAAACAGGTTCAATGGTTCTGCTTTCTGGCCCATTGGGTCGGTTTCCTCATCAGTGCTTCTGCCTCCACAGGATGCAGCTCCCTCAGTCAACCAAAACAATAAAAATAGATCATCTTTTCTGTCGGAGCCATGCGTCTCTGACTGATATACTGATGGTGTCTGGATGCAGGGACACAGGAAGTGATGTCAGGTCTGATCAGACAGGCCCGTGTAACCAAACAGGGCGTGTCCAAATGAACACAGATTTCTAGGTCATCATTTATCCAATCAGGCTTCGTTTCTCATTGATGGGTTGCTAATAGAACAGCTGAACATCGACTGTATGAAGCTAAATGTTATCTAGACAATCTACTGATCCACCACCTTCAGGGTAAATTGATTGAATCTGGCTGATCAATACCTCATCCACCAGGATTTAGGACTAATGTCATTTTACATTCTGGGTCAGGGGTTGAGCTGAGTTACAAGACACATCTGAAGAAATTAACATTTTCCACAAACTTCATTATGAAGGAGTCAAATCTAAAACGTTAAAATGTTGAAATTCTGCTAATATATAGCAGAAGGAAAGTTCAGACTGCAAAAAGTGACCTAAAAATGAGTGTATTTGTCCTAAAATTCATATTTTGCATTTAGCATAATAAGTGTGTGTCCTGGTAGTTAGGGCAGTGCGCTTGTCCTCTGAGAAGGTTGCAGGTACCCGGTTCAATCCCCACAGGCTCCATTCTGGCTCCCTGAGTGAGACCTTTAACCCCCAACTGCACAGCATAGTGGCAGCCCTCTGCCAATTAGAATTATAATATAAAATTAATGAGAATTGTATTACATTTTAATCATTATGTTATTGCATTGGGCAAATTGTTAGCCGCTAAAAACAAAACTAATTTCAAGAAGAAAAATGACTTACCCTTCTTTTTCACTGAATGTGGAAACCGCTCAAACCCAACTCAAGTGTTTTCTGAGTTAATTGACCTTAAGGCCTGAACACGCCAGCTGTGTGCGACTTTTAATCTCTGATCCTATTTTTTTCTATGTCACACTGACTGCGTATAGAAAGGCTCTGACTAGGCAGGATGAGCAGATCAGCGCAGATGAAAATAATAATTTCCCACATCTGACAGAATATGAAAAGTTATAAAAAAAAAACACTGGCTCATTCTATAAAGCAAAGCTCTACTTAACGATTTCGTTCAGCATCTAGAGACAGAACAAATAGAGAATGATAATCTGTTAAAAACATTATCTACGTCTTAAGAAAAGAAAAATGCAGCAATAAACGGCGTGGGACGGTTTCCATGGTGACTGAGGCAGAGAGGTGATACTCAGAGAGATCTGGGAAGTTTATCCAAGTTTTTCTTTCTTTTTTCCATAAAGAGGTGAGAGAGATACGCTGCTCTGATCTGCTCTGTCTGCTACTCCTTATTTTGGTTTCTGTGAGGCTCAAAAGGATCAGTAATTTATCCGTTTTCTGTCCTCCTGAACTCCTATCATGGGGAACGTTTTCTATTTTAATGTTTCATTCATTGTTTTTGTCTCCAGTCTGTCCTGCTTACTATAAACGTGATGCACAACTAGATACTGACCCTTTCCCTTTAAGATTAATTTTTATTTCGTATTTTCCCCTAAAGCGGATGTGTTTTACTTTGTAACCACGTCTCTCTTAATGTCAGACCCATGAAATTGCTGCTGAATTGCTGCGTAGTCCGACCAAAATAGACCTGGGCTCTACCTCAGTCGGAGCTACGTTGCCCCCTGCAGGAAATCATCCCCAATGACTCTCAATGAGTGCTAAACGCCACCACCTCTAAGGACAAGTTCTTTTGGCAGATCAACCACAAATTTGGAATCGGTGTGTCTCGAGGTTTATGGTTGGACTCTGGTCACGTCAGGAGTTTCTACAGTAGTTTAGCCTACTTGTAGGCTCTAAATAGAAAAATAAAACAGCTCTACCAGCGTCACAGGTGTAATTAAAACAACGGCCAAGAGAGCAGAAAGCTTGGTTTATGCTTGACCTGTCTGTGAGGTGTGTGTTTACATCATTTTGGGCACCTCTGCGTAGACTAAGAAACTTTGTATCAACGCGGATGGATCTGTGCAGGAAACATGGCAAGCGAGCAGCAGCTCTTGGTGGCCAGGGATGCAATAGAAACATCTAGAACCATCACATGATTTAGCTCATAAATATCACCATCTGTCACTCAATGATTAGTATACTGTAGGGATAGTTTAGAGTGGGGGACCGCACATTTTCACAAAAAGCTTGGTTTTTATAGATAACAACCTTTACGTGGAAGCCGGCCAATGCAAGTTTCAGCCCCTTTCTGTGTGTCAACAGCTCTATATATGAGACCACCAAAGTTGTTATATGGTGATTATATAATAGATACACAAAGTACCAGAACAGCTGGTTCCAGCGTCAGTTGGTCCTGGGGGTCGAGCTGGTGAGTTCTGGGCTATCAAGTCATCAGATGGATGGTTCAAACACCAGGCCAGAGCTGCTTCTGCTTCATTAATAAACATCACTTTGCCTGTATCGTCCGCCGCTACTAGACCAGCCTGGAAGAGAAATACAAAGTCAGATTTGGTAAAAATAATTGAAGGCCTTAAAAATTGTAGAAAGTAAATTAAATGACATGTGAAAGTAGCATTTTTACTTAAATTAAGTTTATTAGTGTCATGATGTTGGCGCTGATGACTGGCTGGATTACTCATTTCATTCTCCTCATGGCTCCGCCCGTTTTCCCGCTACCGTTCATCTGATCCACCTGCTTCTATTTAACCGGCTCTCTAACCAGTCATCAGGCCAGATATTATTCTCTCATACTGATGGTGAGTGTGCCATCGTTACCTTAGGGTTTCTGATTTCCTGTTCTGCCTCTAAACTACTGAGGATTTCTGTTCCTGTTTGATCTGTTTTTACCTGCCTGCTTTCAGTAATCAGACAAGATTATTCTCTTGAGCCAGAGGTGAGAATGATTCAGCGTTACCTCAGTGTTTTTGATTACCTCATCCTGACCTGTTCTTCCTCTCAACCATTGACCTGCGTGTTCATCTGGTCTGTTTACCTGACCTGTATTTGGACTTCTGTTGGATTCTGCCTGTTTACTTAACTTGGAACTGTTTTCTGTCACCATTGTGGATTTCCCTCTGGAAGCTCTTCGGACCTCTGATCTCCTGGTTGTTAAGCCTAAGTATGTCCTTGACCCTGGCTTTGGCTTTGCTCTTTGGATTTTTCTGCCTTCGTTCTAATTGTTCTCTGTCCTCCGGGGCTACAGCATCTGGGACACCCTGGGCAGTGTCCACCTCATATTGTTGGCAGCCCACCGGCTGGATCCTCCCTCGTTCTCTTGGCATGGACTTAACTTGAAAACCAGGTTAGTGACTCACATTCATAATCTTCCTCCGTCAGATTTACGTGGTCAATAGCCTTTCTACAGAGGTTCCTGCGATAAACTCCATAGCTGCTGTTTCTCCAGTTGTTTTTTTTTTTTATAAATGCTTTTTGAATAATCAGTCTGTCTGTCTGCCTCGAGTACTGTATCCTCCGTTCTGAGCCATGACAATTACATATAATGCACAATACGTATTTCAAGAAAACTGCCTGCCTTTCTAATTTTTTGCAGTGACATCTTAGCAGCCTCATTAGAACCATAATATTACCTGAATTGCAGCGTCCCTCAGGAAACGTTTTGTCCTATAATCCCAGTTGCCAGTAATACACACCACCCAGGTGATGTCAGAGGCTCTGAGCTCTCCACCTTCTGGATGAACTTTGATGGTTTTCAGGGCGTCATCCTTCATGAATCTCAGAACCTCTGTAACAACCTTCATGATCGTCATTGACTTGTTGTTGTGGTCTTTGATTGTCCTCGACCAGTCCTGTGAATAGGTTTCAACTGGTTAGTTTGGGTCCAAACAGGTCAGTTTGTCAGATCTACTGATGGTACACTGCTGTAGACAGTCAGTCCAAACAGAAACTTTTTCTTTAGACTTTGTGATCTGAATGATGCATTAAAAGAAACTGGTTTAAAGGTTTGAAAACTAAATACTGCTTGAATCCATATTCATTTTTCTTTTGTTTAAAATTCATCAGTAAATCTTTGCAGATGCTCTAGCATTTGGTTTATTTATAACACTCTTTTGCAAAGGAAGTTTGGGGTTTTCCAAAGTTTTATAAACATGTAAGAGACACACAGAGCAAAGAAGTGGGTCTGCAGCAGAGATTATAAAGTTTCTACTCTGAGCTACCCTTAAATGAAGAGGCAGAACATTCCAGAACACTCGAGTAACCAACAATAGTCCCACAGTTTGAAGGTAAACAGTGGTTCCTGGTTCTGTTCTGATCCAGGACTCAGTCCTGATTTAATGAATCACTGAAAAATGCTGGGCCATAAACCATGATAATAATTTTGGACATTGAGGATCAATTATGACCAAACATTATTTAATGGAATCCTTGTGCTCACTGTCAGCTCGCTTAAAGGTAGACAAAGAATCAATTAATTGAAGGTAAATAATTTTGGACTAAGCTAATTATTAAATAAAAGATTATTTAGCTAAATACTGTTTTATTCACTTCATTGATTTGTACTGTGAATTGCTTTGAAAACATTCGAATCGCTCTAAATTAGTGAAAAGCTCATTTGAATATCCCAAATTCTTCAATATAAACTGTGGTTTGCAAACACAAAATCCATCCTAAACTGTAATATCATTTCATTAATTTCATCTCATTGATTATGGTTTTCAACCATGTTTTTCTTTCTTTGTATATAGTAGCTTAGTTTAGTTAAGTTTGATTCCATTTTTAGCTGAAATATGTTTGACCTTGAGCTGAATTTTTATTAATAAACTCTTATATTTTGAATGAAAGTTGTGGTGAATTTATTTGTTTGATCATGATGTGAGCTCAAGTCACACTTTATTTTGTTGTTCTAATGCACTACCAGAAGGGCGTGTATGCATAAACAATATATGATATTCCAAATAATATCTGATTAAATAACCTACCACTAAGGGTGTGCAAAATAATCGTCATGACGATGCATCGCGATTCTAATTTTTGTGATCTTGAAGGTGTCAGGACTCAGTCTCTGCTGGCCTGCTTTTTCCCTCTGCTCTCTCCACAGCTGACGGCAATTGACTGATGGGCGGGGTGCGCGCCCTCGCCGTGTGTTCAGCGGCGCTGGGCTGCACTATAAGATCTGCACTCTGACAGCAGGAGGACGCCAGAGTATTATCCGTTGTTGGTATGCTTCAGAGGCCTCAGTCTCCAGGCTGATCAAACCTTTTTCTAAGCTCGTGCTCTCTGTGTCTCCCAGGTTCTGCTTGCCTTTTTCCCCCCCGAGGCTCAGGCGAAGCAGAGCAGCCTTCCGCCTCAGCTCGTTTCTGGCCCAGCTGATCCCTCGTCTCTGGCTCCTGGAAACCCACTCGGCTTCGTGGACCGCCGAACCGGGCCGTGGAAGGACCACCCCCGGATCCGTCTGGTTCCCCTGCTGTCTCAGGATTTGGCCAGCGCCGCTCGGACCCAGCCTGCGCCCTCCTCCACCGGTCAGCTGTCGGAACCTCTCCGCCTGCAGAGCTAAGTTCACTCCCCCCCCCCCCCCGGCCGTTCCCAAGCCTAAGTGGTAAGCCGGCGCGTCTCACCTTCTTCTTCTCCCTCTGCTCTTGCCTTCCTCCGCTAATTGTTTCCTCTCCTTAACCCCTAGATTGTTCGTGTTCCGCTCGAGAGATTCGCCTCGCGAACTCCTCTTCTGGTGGTCGTTTCCCAGAGGAGTTACGGATTATTATTTTCTTTAAGAATAAAACGTTAATCTGTGACCTGTTTTTCCTGAGTGTTCTGCATGTGGGTCAGACATATCAGACCAACCATGACAGAAGGCAAGAATCGATTATTAAAAAAAATAAATAAATGAACAAATAAAATACATGAACGGTTGGCGCACATCAGCCGAACCAAGTGGAATACAACTTCCAGGCCAGCAGATGTCGCTGTTGATGTGTTGACGCTTTGTGTCGAAGCATGTCCGGCCGCGGGATACTGCGACAAGTCATATGAAATAAAATTTAATTTCATTGTTTTAAAGGACCACTGAGGCCATGTAAACGGCACTGATTATCCTTATTTTGTTAATTTAAGTTTGATGAATCCTAATATATTTTTGTCAGTGTGTCCAACGCCAGTAATAGTAATATTTCTCTCCAGTATTTGTCTCCATGGCAACACCTCCAAAAGTCGTTTCAGTAAATACAGCTATGTATGAATTCAGTTGCTTTCAGTCATGTATCAATTGAAGACACGATCCAGATCACACCCAGCCAGTCAGCCACTGGAAAAAGGCTATATCTTTTTCCTACAGTGTTCAGTTAAAATATCGCAACGCATCGCGATGCATCGCAATATTTCAAGCATCGTGATGCATCTTGATAGAATCGCCTCGTGGCATGTGAATCGTGATTCAAATCGAATCATGATTTCTTAGCAATACCCACCCCTACCTAACACCCCTACTGATGTGGGCAAAAAATATATTGAAGTATCACAACGCATGTAAGATTCCATCAAGAGGAATCCTTTCTGTAGAGCAATCATAGGCAGCAGCTGCTGTTGCACTTGACCATGTGCTCATCACCACAGCTCACAACAATTTATTTCAACTCTGAATGCATTGATGTAACAAGCGAACCAAAAATATATGCGTATGGCTCAACTCCTCAGAAAATGAAATTTCTCACACTGGAGGAATTCACCTCTGCATCTTAATCCTCCCTTGGGGAGCAGTGGGCTACCACTGTGCAGCTCCTGAGGAGTGATGTGGGGTTAAGGTATTTTGTGTTTGCTCAGAGACCCAGATTGCCGGCTTAGGGGATCGAACCAGGTACTTGCAGTCTCATCCAAGCACAAGCGCACTGCTCTAACCACCAGGCCAACACTCCTCATGACCTGTCTCAGCTGTTCAACGACACCTGAAGGCTAAAGGACACTTGGTTGAGGATGACAACATCCATATTCTGGCCAAGGAAGAAGGAAAGGTTTGGGAGAGGGCTTAAGGAAGCCATCTTTGTTAACCTGGGAAAACCATCTCTCAACAGAGGAGGTGGTTTTAGACATAATCTTTCATTCACTAACAAAGCAATTTTAGGAACATTACCTAGAAAATTAAGCTCTCACCTTACTCACACTTTTATGAGGCATGAAACCACGCTGAAGAGGGAGTTAAGCACCCGTCATAACCCTCCCTCCACCTACAGTATATCAATTAACTTTCTCATCTTCTCATAATACTTTGGATCTGGTGCTGACATATGGCACAACCCTGTCCTCTCTGACCACTTTTTAATAACCTTCAGGATTATTTTAACCTAGTTCTCCTTCCCCAAAACCTCCAGCTTATCAGGTCATTATCAGATAGTGCAGTCATAATTTTTAAAGAATGCTTCACTTTCTCTCTCCTCTGTGTCGCTGAGCAGTGCTGCAGAGTGCAAAAGCATAGCTTATTCCCCTTCACAGGTTGATGCTTTTATTGATGGTGTTGCTAGTTCTCTGTGTACCGCCTGAGACAATGCAGCTCCTTTCAAAATGAAAAAAAAAACAAAACAAAAAATAGAAAGCTGGCTCCTTGGTGTAATGCAGAGCTGCGCACTCTGAAGCAAAATTCTAGGAAACTTGAGAGAAAATATTGCTTCACAGGCCTACGGGAATCCTACCTAGTCTGGAAAAATGGTTTACTGCTGCATAAGATGATTCTTTGTGAAGCAAGAGCAGCACAATTCTCCTCATTAATAGAGGAGAATAAGAATAATCCTAGATTTCTTTTTAATCCAGTTGCCAAACTCTATCTATTGAACTGTCCATTCCACCTGCTCTTAGCAGTAGCGATTTCATGGGATACTTTATAAAAAGATTGTTTTTATTAAAAATAAGATCATAAGCACTCCTCTATCCGCGATTGTATCTGAGGTGGTCATGGAATCTGAACCGGGTTTAGACTGCTTTGATCCAGTTGAACTTTCAGAATTAGCAAAATTATTGTCTTCATCTAAGCCAATGGTCCCAAAACTACGGCCCGCCTCCACATTTGGTCCGGCCCCCTGAACAATACCAGAGAGTATTTTTTCATATAAGTGTATGCTCCTTAATTATGAAGTTTTTTCATTATTAACTATTAGTAACTATTTCATACACACATATAACGTGACAGTGTTCCACCCTTTTGGGGTCTGTGCCCCTATCTGGCAAAACCCAGCAAAAAATCTTCCGGAAAGAGAGAACGGAATAATGGCCAAAAGATTAGGTAAGAGAAAAATTCATTAAGAATGCAGGTTATTTAACCTGAATTGGGCAATGTTGGGAT